ACACACGTGTGATGTTTAAAAACATCTCAACTATCGAATCGATTTTTGATTTGTTATTAGTAAAAGAACATCTATTAAAACAAGATTAGACTGAAATATCGCAACGTTTTTCGCGTAGCTATTCACCTCTGCATTTTGTAATAGAATAGTCGATAGATCTTTTATAGAAAAAAATTCATGCTTTATCTGTTTATAAAATGAATAAAATCAGAAGAACAACTTTTTAAAGTTATACAAAAATACTAAAAGACTCATTCATTATGACGCATACGTTATATGCTCGAAAAGATGCGAAATGTATATTGTTTGTTATTTTTGTTCACTCTTTAGTTTTAATTCGCTCTTCTAGTTGTGATATTTGTTTCTGTTCAATCACGCACTTCCGTTTGCCCTGTCTCATTTCTCATTGTTAATCAGGGCCGTGGCGAAAGAAAAAATCAAGGGAGGGGGAACAGTTTTTGGAAGAAAGTAATAAATCCAAAAAGCAGGGAGAAAGGCGTACACTCCCTTACACACACACACCCTATCGCCACGGCTCCGTTGCTAATAATAGAACTTAGACTTCTCTTGTGGTGTCACAAAGAAAAAAGTTTCTCATTTTGTCAAGCTAAAATATTGTTTTCTTTCTTTTTTTGATTTAATTTTTTTACCGTTGACAAGTGCTCAGTTTTTGGTCGTTACGTGATATGCTTGGTTTGCAACGGATCCGACATTCGGCGTATAACTTTCAAACATTTCATCATGAATTAAAATTACATTTTGTAACTGTACACTTTTAATCCACCCACATTATCTTTTTACAGCAGCATAAAATGAAAAAAACAATCACCTAAAAGATTTAAATTATCAGACGAGTGTTTTAATGGAATTTTTATAAGTATATAGAAAGAAAATATCTGTATTTATTTATGAGACAAAGAAAACGTATGTAAGTATGTTAAATGAGTACTTGTCGAACAGAAGTAAACTTTTTTGACAAGTGATGTAAAGATAAAAAGATTTTGAATTGTCATATTCATTGCCAAACAATTGTAATTGGATAACTGACTAAAGTCGTTAATATACAAATAATTTTGTCTTACAGTCACTCAGTTTTAATTTTTTAAATTTAAGAGACATTAATCAAGTAAGTTTTGTAAAAACGACATTAAATACTAGTCTCAAGTGAAACATAGTTTCAGAGTTAATTTTTAAAATATTTTATACACGGTTAATTAGTACAGAAGTAGAGAACTAGTCTCTTTTTGGACGTCTTTTTTGATAAACTTAATCAAAAAGAAGCCTAGACAATATTATACAAAAAATTAAAAGAGAAAGAAGCAGTTCTATTATGAAGGAAAAACTATGGTAACATCTGGTGCGATGGTAAACCTCGGAATAAGATTTGAAATAAATACTAACATTAAAAATGACTCAGATAGATTGAAGGATTTTATCTACTAAATTTAATCATATAGTATTTGTCTATTGATGAATGAAGAGAGATTTTATCATTACACTGTGAATGATTCGATTACACTATTTTTTCAAAATCACATCATATTTTTAAGTTGAATGCCAAGTTCAAATATATCCGAAACTAACATCGAGTCAACCATTTCGTCAATTCCAAGATTTAATGAAGATGAACATATAAAAATCGAAGACGATGATACGAAAGAAAAAAATTCAGAGTAAGAAACATTTTTCTAATGGATTTTCATCAATGATCGTAATGAATTTCTTGTCACAGGATGGTTGATGGCAAAGTTTTGAGAAAAAAATCTTCAAGATCAAAAAGGCAATCACCTGTCAAATCGGCAAAACATTCAGGCAGCCCTCCTCCTCCTCCTCGACGATGGATCGGAAGAACGAACGGATATGGTAAATATTTTGTTTCATCTCCTACTTCGCTTTATAGCAATCGTTTTTTCAGTACCACCAAGATGGATAAATCCGAATTCAAGTCCACCAGTTTGGTCTGCTGTTTTGCCAAAAGTTACAACCCGTTGGGAGTATAATTCTAACGTTCTTCCAAGTCATAAACCGCCGTTATATCCTTTACCTAAAAGAAAACCTACACAACGAAAACCTATGGACCCAAAACAGAGAGAAGAACACAAATATCAAGATTTTGTTGCACATCTAAAGAAAGATATGTATGTGCTCAATAGTTTGATAAAAATTCATGATTATTTTAAAATGATTTGCTTTCTTCAGCGATGCTTATCTCAGAAAAAGTTTAAGAGAAAGTCGTTTCGATCCTACTGGGAACGCTTGCGTTCGAGTAAATAGTTCTCTTGTTGTAAGTTTCTTTTTCTTCAAAAATTCAGTCATGTTTAGATCATTTTCATTTTAGAATTCAAATGTTAGTGTGAAACAAGTTTTACATGAGAAACCATCTGATTCTGTTATTAACTTTGAAGATTCATTATCGTGAGTCTTTTCACTGAAATGTCGTCGTATCTTCAAAAAAACTTGAGTAGTCTGAATCAAAACGATATCAACCATTTTTTTCAATTTGTTTTCAGATCAATGCTTCAACATGAACCATTAGCGTTACTCAAAAAGCCTGAGAGTAAAAGATTAATTTCCGATGTGAATACAATTTTGGTTAGTCTTAAACAAATAGCCTTAATAACTTTTGTTTCTCTTCGATTCGAATATAATAAAACTACCAGTTTTGGTATCACCTAATAATAAATGTGTGGTTTACATATTAAATATTTGTTATATTTTTCAGGCTATGAAACATCCACAAACACGTTTTTCACAGCACCGGAAAAAACCGTAAACATATTACATACCTACGCTTTGGCATTAACTAAAAAATGCATAATATGTGTAAGAGAAATGATTAAAGCTCATAATCATGCGCGCAATAACTGTAGTATTTGGACACTGGATTCATGTTGATTGCAAACTGCAGTCAAATCTTGCGATATGCGTAAGAAAATTGATCATATTTCTGTTTCACACATCAATCTCGGAAGAGTACAGTCATCTTACGACTATTCCATGCGAATGTGATTTTACTCTTAAATTAATAGCTTTATGCAGTTTCATCTGATTGCTTACTAATAATTATCTTATTTCGCCATAAATATAAATGTTTGCAAAAAAATATTTCAAACTTATTTTTACACCTGGTATTTTGCTTTTATCATGCACAGTTATATACAGATAATAATTTTCTATGCTTACGTGTTAAAAAGCTTAGCTCTATGAGATTTTGATTCTAAGTATACTTCTTTTTATTCAGGTTAACGCGCCCATCCAAAGCTTCTATGCAAACTATTACCTAAAACAGCAAAAGAAAAATTTACTCATCGTACCCAATATGAAATCTTTTCAAGACAAATCCAGTATTGTGGCTTATTAAAACTGTGACATTTAATTTGACTATGAATGCCGACAAAAATTATTAATTTTTGTTTAAAAAGTCTGTTTTTTCCATACACTTTTTCTTCTCACAATAAACCGGCATAAAAACGGTGTACCTAAATATAACAGAAATAAAAAGATCAGGATAATTTAAGTTGATTATTTTTTCCACTTTTATTTTTGTCCTGTATCATCAGAAAGAAAACAAACAAACAAAAAGGTTACATATGTGTTATCTATGAATAATCAAATATCAACAAATCTAAGCTTTATTGTTTTCTATGTACATTGAAGAAATGCGCGCACGTTCAATAGGAAAAAGCAATGTGAAGGTTGCATCAAACAAAAAAGAAAAAAAAAGAGAAGGGAAGAAAACAAACCACAAAGACATCAGTTACTTGAATCCTTAAGCATGTTACTACAGTCATTATAGACAAAAAAAATAACAATAATTTCAAGACGAATAAATAGATAGAGAGAGAAAGAGAAAAGGAGGAACTACAACTCTCCTATTAGTGGAAGAATTGAGCAAATGAAAGTAAGGAATATTATCCAATGAATTATTTAAAAACATAAAGTTTTTTTTTTTATATTTCCACTGCAACTACTCTAGTATCATTTATTGCATTTTATACATAGGAAGAAAAACCAAACAAAACATAAAAGTTTTATCTGACAACACACAAACATGATACGACGACGAAAAAAAAAGAAAAGAATTTACATAGACAACAAGAAATCTGACAATATTGTCATAAAATAAAAAAGAAATATAAGTTTTTAGGGAGACAGATGATCCCGCGCGGCAGGACATTGCAATGTCTATTGTTTGTATTTATTTTTTGGCTTTGCGTACTATATCTGATTAGAACAAAAACATTACTTCCCTTTTCCAGTTATCATAGTTACAAAAAATAACATTGAGATAGCAGCAAACATTGCTGTACGAAATCAATTCAGTAAAAACATATAAAAAGAAACCATTATCTGGTAAATGAGATTAATCTGTCTCTCAATCTTATTATATAAGAATTTTAAAAAAAAGAACTACACACACCCACACATACACATTCATGCAAATAAAGGCTAAAAGAATCTGACAGAAGACATGTATACAATAAATTGTGTTTGAGCGAAAAAAAGAGTAAGCAAAACCGGTATGACTTAGTCCGATGTTACTTCAAGCACCTGAGTGTAACAAAAAAAAACAAAAAATTTAGAGTACAAGATAGAATAATAGACAGATGTAAAATAAAACATATAGAAAGATTTATACACAGACAAAAACAACTAAATCTACATACTCCTATGTTTTTATCCTCTTCTGATTTTTTTCTGACAAAGAAATGTCTGAAAGTTAGCCTTTCTCTCCTGAGAAAACACATTACATCCTGAGAGATGCGGAAAAGTAAACAAGCCGAGTTGTGTAGTACAAAACGAGAAAAAAGAAGAAAAATGAATAACAAATACAGGCCGATAAACCGTGTACTTGTTTGAAAAGAAAATTAGAAAGATAGAAGAAAATGCACTGAATGATTAAGATATATATCAAAAACATAAAAGAGGATGAGATTATATGATACAAAAGAAGACGATCGCAAATAATAATATAAAAACAAAAAATTAGTTTGATTAAGCTACAATTTATCCCAAGCAACAGGTGAAGGAGGTAGCTCATGTGCTTGAGCAACTTGAGATCTAAAGAGATAAATTCAATTAAATTGTTTTATAAGAGAATTCTAATTGGAATGAGAACTTACGTGGCAAATGTTTTGTATAATGGAGAATCATGGTTAAGTCTTAATGGTACAGTGTTTGCTTGACTAAATTCAGTTAGTAATTTATGCATATATTCTACAAAAAAGAATGGAAAAAAGCATTATCATATTCATCATAAAAAGACAAACAAAAACACTAGTTACACGTTAATGAACATCTTATTTATTTTGACTTTAAGAAATCGTCTATGTTATTTTTTACCAACTTTAGAAGGAAAGATTTATATGTAGTTCAAGTTTGAGATAGATAAAAGGTGCTTTAATTTCTTCTTGTTAAAAAAAATTCTGTGAAACACCTCACCATTGATTCTTTTTTTTTGCATGGATTCGGAACTCGTGTGCTCACCAAAAAAATCCAATATCTCAAGAACGTAGCGTGATAAAAAAACTTCGAAACATGATCTTTTTTATCTAATCCAACAATTGTTTTCAATTACTAGAATGGACTGATCCACAAAATAGTAATCTTTTTTGAAGACTCAAAAACTTACGATAGTTGCTCAGAAAGGTGTAACTGCGTGTGTCAAATGATAGTGCAGATATATGTTTTTGAAATTAAAGTAATTAGTTTCGTAGCCTCTGTTTTCAGCTTTAATACTAACTCAAGTTTTATGGATACAAACGATTTCCCACTGAGAAAATCAAAGTGGCTTTCTTACTCGAGAACCAAACACTCTTAGACGAAAAGAAATTAAAGTGTCCTTTATGTCTGTTAAATATAAGTTAAATGAGGCAGGTTTGAGTCTGCTTGTCTCCGAAGGCAAGACATATTTTAATTTACAATTCAACGGACTCATTGTTTAAAACAGAATAGTGAATTTTATGATTCCAATCAAAATTTTTGATTTTCCAAACAATATTTACCTTTTGCTTGTCTCATATTACAAAAGTTTTCATCTGAATCATCGTAACGAAAACCACGAACAGGTTCTAAATTGATTGTATACTGTCTTCCTTGTTGAGTTGAATAACAACACCGACACATACAACTATGATAACGTATACGCCCTTCATGAATGTAAGATTGCTCTTGAATTAAAAAATAAAATATATTACTCAATACTAAAAAACTTTTTCTTTTTTCAAACTTCATACCGAGTGCTTGACTAGTTGATATTCGTTTTTTCGGATCCCATGTTAACATACGAGAGAGTAGTTGCGCTGCATCACTAGTAACATTCTTTGATAACGAGAGTAACGCATTTATTTTTGCTGCACGCCATGTTTTCGATAACACGTAAGCTTTAGCTCCATCGCATGCTGTCGATATCTAGAAAACAGAACAAAATTTTAGTTTTAAAGATTTCAGAAACCACAAAACACTCTTACCTCATCAATAGTGGGTGTGCCGAGCAGATTGATAATAAGTTCAATCTAAATATAAGGTAAAATGGATGTGTTTTCAAGTTTTATCGTCCACCTTCAGCGTACGAACAATTTAGTAATTTTTAACCTACTTGTTTTAGAGGGGACGATGCTTGAAATAATATTCTTCTGCCAAGCAATTCAGCAAATATGCATCCAACCTAGAATGAATAATGTTTTTAAATCTATTGTTTAAAATTATCAACAAAGATACTTACACTCCACACATCGATCGCTAAAAGGAAAAATAAAATAACACAAATTAGTCAAAAACAAACATTTTTTGTAACAAAGCAAGAGAAAATAACATACCGTATGAATAATGATGGGTACCTTAAATGAAAAGAATCGTTTATGAAACATTGTAATGTAAATACGGCAAAAAGAGACGCTTACCTAATAATAATTCAGGTGCACGATAATATTGAGTAACAACCTCTTGTGTCATACATTTTTGTTTATCAATTTCCTCAGTACGAGCCAAGCCAAAATCACAAATCTAAAAAAATAATATCAATTAATATTTACAAAAACAAAACAATTTGCGGCATGGATGAAGTTACAAAGAATTATTCAAAAGTTTTATCTAATAAATGTATAAAAGACTCACTTTTAGCAAACAATCACTATTCACTAATAAGTTGCCTGGTTTTAAGTCCCGATGAATAACACCAGCAGAATGCAAAAATTTTAAACCTATAACAAAACATCTTCGTTTAACATATAATTGTAGCAGAGAAAATTACGTACCCCTGAGAATTTGATACAGAAACACTTTACAATGGTCAGGTGATAAACTTTGTTGTGAAACAATTATTTTGTGTAAATCAATTTGCATTAACTCAGTCAATATGTAGCTAGAAAATAATATTTTAAAATAGTTACGCAGAATAATAAAAAATACACGAGATTCCTACACTTCATTAAACATATCAACTTGTCCAGGTGGCTGCAATATGTCAACTGCTTGTAAAATCTGAAACAATAACAAAACAATGTACTAGACTAGAAACGAAGGAATTTGAATTGCTTTTTTTTGTTAATGTTTTAGGGGTGAATGAAGTAACTTTCACATTCTAATATTCACATGTGATGTCAACTAACAAAAGTTCTAGTATTAAGTAAAAAATAAAAGCAAAACATACATTATCATGTCGAAATGTGCAAAGCATTTTGATTTCTCGAAATGCTCGTCTAGCTGCAATAACTGATTGAAATACATTTGGCATTTTTTTCAATGCAACTCGTCGAGATGTACGTGGATCAGTAACAGCCCTAAAGAAAAGAACATCAATCTCAGGAAAATAGAACAAAGTTTGGCAATTAAAAAAAGAAAAACTTACCATATAACACCGAAAGCACCATAACCTATGAGAAAATCAGGTTCACTTTCAGAATTTGATTGTTGTTGCTGTGCTGTTGTTGTGGTTGTTGTCGTGGTAGATGATGTTGATGACGATGAGGAAGAAAAGGCTGCTGTAGTCGTATAATATTGTTGTTTGGAATAATTGTTATTAATTTCCTTTGTTTTCGACGAAGCATGCGGCATTGCGATCTTAAAATAAGAAGAATATACTATCTCTGCTCAGTCTAGTCTATTGCAGATATTACCATAGTTAGTTTCAGCTATAAGTTATAACCCATTAAGTTTTGAAATAATTAATGGCACTCAGTCTTATCTGACATATGTACAACCACACATTTTCTTGTTGTTTTCAGCTGATCATAAAACACCAAATAGCGAAAAACGAAAGATCAGAAATAAAAGAAAAGAACAAAAATAACAGCTGTAAAAAACTTTCAGCTCAAACAATCAAACAATAAAAAGTAATAATTTGGGTAGATTCATATACGTCCATTTTTTGGCAGCCATTACAGACTTCGGTTCCTCATTTGAAATTCAGAATACTCTCTACTAAATATAGATTAATATGGATTTAAAAAAATTTCCTTAAATAAAAATGTTTCTTTTCTTTCAATACACACTGGTATTTAATCTGGCAACCTGTCACAGAGACATTTAGTGCCACTGTCAATGTATTTTAATGTTGCAGTTCCCCGTTGTACTACAGCAGTAGCAGAGCATTTTTGCGAGACGTGAGTTGAAACTGTGCTTTTAACAGTAGCTTTAATATACACGGATTATAATATGGGACGTTACGTAACAAATTTATGAAAAAACTTCACCTCTGTGGTTTATGCAAACCACACTGCTTATAACAATACTCTAGTCGAACATCTTGGAACAAAGACCTTGACATCTTAGATTTTCTTGAAGAGATCTTCACAAGATCTTTGGTAAAAGATGTCAAAATATTTCTGTATCAAATTTCGTGCGCATCAACCTGGGTATAAAATCCTAAAAATTATCTTGTATCCAAGATCTTGACTGTAAAATGGCTTCCACTCAAGATCACGGTTGAGATCTTTGATATAGAAAAATTTGAACATCTTGTACCAAAGGTCTTTGAGCAACCATTGATTACGATTCACCGTTTTGTTTTGCCGATGTCATCCTAAATATGAAGACTCTATTTTGTGTCTGGTATTACTTGGTTTTCGTCAAGGACAGAGTCAAACCTGCTTGAGGAAAGCATCGAGAAACGTTCATCCTAGCGGACGAAATGTTCACCACTGAACGGTGAACATTTTTTGTTAGCTGTACTTTTTAAAAAAATGCAAAGGAAAACTTTATTTTCGAAATATGACGGTTTCTAAAATGTAAAACTTAGTTATACCCAAGATCTTGCGCAGGATCTTGGATACAAAAGAAGTCTCGAGATTTTGTATCCATTTTTTTAAGATCTAGTGCTATATTTTAACGTAAGATCTTGGACAAGATGTTGGACTAGAGTAACTGTCTAAAAGATACCTAGTTTATCGATGCTTGCGGTATACAAATGCAGCTATAAATATTGTTTGTGCAGCATACAAAACTCTCATAATCTAACAGTTTATTAATGATTCTTTGTTTTTCATTAGATAATACAATCAAAATTACCAGATCTGATAAATTCATTCATCATCGATGATGAATTTATTTACATCAATCTTTTATTTTATCAGTTACGTTGTCTTAGATTCAGTTTTCATCAACTTATTCCATATCAGCTGAGCTTAAACGTTTATTTGCTCCATTATAGCCTGACAATAGAACTCATTCATCAAGAAAAGTATCCTTTCAACATAAATTAGACAATAATGTCGGTTATTGTACTATTCTTCGTTTTTTCACAAACTAATTTTTATGTATTATCTAAAACAATAATTACCGACAAATTATTGAGTAATTTGAACATTAATCTAAGTACATTAAATATAAAAGTAAACGGTTACAATTGTGACATATGCTATAAAAATGAATGAGGTAAAAGAAAATGCTCACTATTTTATAGTAATAGTAAGTAATAGTAATATAAGAGCTTTGTACGAATAGTTCAAAACCAAAGAGTATGTGCACTATGCAAAAAACCGTTAGATAACTGTACCGAAAAGTTCTTTAGTCATATTGAAATTAATTGTCATATTTTGCATTTGTTTGTCAAAATCCTTTTAATAATTAGTGTTTACCAGAAAAGTTGGAGTCTGAAGTTGATAAAAATTAGTTTATCATGAAAATTGAAAGTATACTAGAATCAATAATGTTTTCCATTAAAACTGTCGTTGGGTAAAAATGCAAAAAATCATGATCAATTTTTCATTCACAAGTCAAAGCCTTGATGTTAACTTAACAGTTATACACAATTCAATAGATTATTTAAAGATGCTAAGCATATAGCAATTCACAAGAAATTAGAAATTGATTACTGTTTAGTAGGTAAGTACCTTACAGTTTTTCTCGAACGTTAACATATTTTTACACAAACATTATTATCAGTGTCCTAGAAAGATGCAGTTGAGAAACAGAAGAATTATATCGTACATATAAACAGAACCATAATAGTTTTCATTGTTTATATGTATTAGCTTTTGTTTGAGAGTAGTATATGCTGTTCTAATATTGTGTTTGTAAAACAACGTCTATTGTGACCTTCTGTATGAAGCATTCTATCCAGATGGCTGTTCTTTTCCTTTCTTGCTCCTGGATTCGAGTGTAACCTTTCAAATAAATAGCTGTATCACCATCATCACTAACCATTTAGCTATTCTAGTTCTAGAAAAAGAAAGTTAATTTAATAGTCTTTCCAAGTAGACTGATATTCGTGAGTAGAAAAAACATTGAATTTTCAATTATACTAGATTGTTCGGGAATTCCTAATTACTAGAAAAGATATCTTTTAATGCTTGATCATAATGGTAGGCAAAAGACAAATATTTTATGAGAAACTAGAACAATGGGGCTCAATCTATACTAAGAGATATCCAAAAATTATAAGTTGAAATAAATAAAAGCAAATGGGCTCAATAAGTGAGCTTGGTAATTGATATCTGTTTTAAATGAACATTAAACATTCATATATTGATTACTAAATTTATAGAACATTTATTTTCGCTACTAACAAAACTACTGATGTTGAATAATGAAGTTGTCAATTATTATTATATTGTGTGATCATGCAAAAGTATTTTGTAACTACATACCACTTGGCAAATCAAAGAATGTTTTAAAAGGGACAGTTTAATTTCCTTAACGATGTCCGTTCCAGATTAGTCGGCTACAACCGTCTTATTTTAAGACGGACGATTTATCAGTCTTATTTTGGTGCAAGTACAAATCCCTTAGGAAGGATAAGCCTATTACATAGGGCGGCGACAGTATCTGAGCACCGTCCGTCTATATGATGTTCATAGACTTTTGTAAGAGATATTGGAAAGATATTTTCTTCCTCTGTTTTCTTTATATAGAAATTCTGAATGCAAAATAAAAGAGGTGATTGACTTCTCCGTCAGTTATTGAAGTAAGACATAAAACGAATAGGATACGACGGATTTTTTTTAGAATATAAAAATAGGTAGCACTAGTATAAAATTCCCCTTTATAAATAGTTAACGTGTTAAATTTCTAATTTTAATTGGAAAGGACGAGGAACGGTTTCTGCTAGAAAATGGCACAATATGATTTTGAGTGAAAATGCTTCTCTTTTCACTTTCCAACACTTCCCACGTTCAAAAATTCCTTCTGGTGTCTTTCAAACAAAAATCACTTTTCATTT